GGCGCATTCGGGCCCCGGGAACATCGACTGAGGATCCATGGTAGGAAATTGCCCCCAGGGAGTAGGTCTGGAGCTCGAGGGCCGCGGATTCAGACGATCACATTGTTGGATTTCTGGAAACTCAATTTTCGCCGTCATCGTCGACGACGATCCGAGATCGAGAATCGAGGCTCTCGGGCTTCTCTGGGCGGCTTGTTGCGTTTTTGGGCGCTCCGGTGCCTTCTAAGAGGCTCTTGGGCGCAGGAGGGTCTGCACCACTTGAAGGGCATGTTTCCTGAATGACGGAGGTCCAGATTTTCCACTGCAGTTTCCGGCCACTTCTGGGGCCCTCTTTGGGCCCTTGCGGACTGTCAACAGTAGAAGCAGAAAAAACGCCATAAACAGAATGTTTAAGCGCTCCGCGCGGATTTCCCTGATCCGTGCTGGACACCCCCTCCCTGGCGCGCGGAGCGCGCCAGTGGCGGCGCCGGAGGCGCCGCGGGGGGGGGGGGCCAGCGCAGATCCGAGAGATCCGCGCGGAGCGCTAACAGTTTGTGTTTATGGCGTTTCTCCTTCTTCTAAACAGGCGGCATGTGATGAAGAGCTGGTCCTGGGGGACGGGGTCCAGGACCCCTTTCCCTTGGGCGCCCCTTCCCGTTGTGCCACTGCGCCTGCAGCCGCGCGTGCTCGCCGTCATTGGCAGCCGTAGCCTCCGCACGAGGGGCCCTGAACAAGGGGGGGGCGCCTCCTCTGGTGGGCCCCACGCGCGCAGCGCACCTGCACGAGCGAGGAGCGCCGGAGGGAGAGCCCGAGGACTGACCCGAGGAGCGCCCGAGCCCTCTCCGAGGCAAGAGTGGTTCCGAAGGAAGTGCTCTGAGATGTTGATTGCACCCGCGCCCCGTCTCGGTCGCAGTCGGCGTTGCCCTCGTGGCCCCGCCCACCCCACGCCCCTGGAAGGTACGTCGAGGACCGTCGGGGCGAACCCACGCTCATGCTGTACATGCCGAAGCAGACCCCCGAGCCGTGGTCGTATGTAGTCGAGGAGGGGTGTTCCTCCTGCTTCTCCTGCTCCTGCTCCTGCTCCTGCTCTGACTGCCCTCCTGTCTCCGGGGCGGCTCCTCTTTTTTCTGCCCCCGTTTCTCCTGTCTGCCTCCATTTCTTCTCCTTATGCATAGTTAATTTTTCCATGTCGCAACCCGAGGCCAGATTTTTGGGCGGGCCGGGCGTTGCGCCTGAGATTTCCTCACCACTAGTGGTTCTGAAGCTTAAGAAGTGATCAGTTTCTCAGATGAATGGGGGGATGGTTTTCAAAACGTGGCTCTCGCCTTAGCGCCGCGCACAATTGTTTTAAACAGTTGCAAGAGTTTCACGGATTGAGGGCGGGTCGTTTTCAAAATGTAGCTCTCGCCTTAGCGCCGCGCACATTTGTCGAAACAAATTGCAAGAGTTTTGCGGATTGACGGCGGGTGGTTTTCAAAATGTGGTTCTCGCCTTAGCGCCGCGCACATTCGTTTTCAACAGTTGCAGGAGTTTCACGGATTGAGGGCGGTTCCTTTTCAAAATGTCGTTCTCGCCTTAGCGCCGCGCGCATTCACTTTAAACATTTGCAAACGTTTCATTGATTCCCATGATCAGCGTACGAAAAAAATGTGTTTTGGAAGGATTCAGGATTGTGAGGGTGTAATATTTACGTTGATTCGCGACGTTGAAGTCTCGAGAACAGAGTTCTGGCACGGTGCAGGATCGTCAAGACGAGCCAGTCAGGTTGATCCGTGGCGTTGGAATCCCGAGAGAAATGTTTAGGCATGCTTCAGGGTCTTCCAATGGGTATCTTCCAACGAGGCAGTTCCCTCAGTGGAAATGCACCGTTGTAGTTGCCTATGAAGAGGGAGCTTGGAGGGAGGGTTTGTTCCAACATCGGCGATGGCTTTTCGGTGTACACTGGTCCTCTTCCTCCTCCCCGTCCTCCCCTCTCTGTCCCCATCCCCTCTCCGTCAGTCCTGCCATTTCTTCCCCGTCCCTCGCCTTCCGCGCCAGGGCCCAATGGGCACGCGCGCGCTCTCGAGGGGAACGCGCGCGACCCCGGCGTTCGTTTCGTTGGCTTCGCCCTCCCCGTCCCCGCATGCTTGATCCTGCGCTTCTTGCCTGCCGTCCGCGATCTTCGTTGCTTCTCCGTCCTCCATTGGCGCGTTCGCCGCTGGCGATGTCTCGTGTGACGTTGCCAGACTTCACAGCGGTCTTCCGTCTTGTGCTGTGGTCCTCTTCTTCTCCCCCTTCCGCCACCAGTTCCGCTTCAGTGCCACCGCCTGATGCTCTTCCCAGTGCGACTCCCGTTCCGTTCGTTTCGTTTCGGTTCCGGAGCGTTCTGCTCGTCCCGGGTCGGGTCCGGAACGGGCTCGGGCGATTCTGGCTCAAGGGCGGCTCCTGCTCAGCCGGCTCGTCTTCAGAGGAGAAGCAGGAGGGGGGGTTATGATGAGGAGGAGCGAAGCAGAGACTGCTGAGGAGCAGAAAAGAGGAGCGACCACTTTCGATGGGCCGCGCCACAGGGCGCGAGAGCCCCGCCAGGCAGCCGACTTCGCACGGGCGTGAGGAGACAGCGCCCCGTGTTCTCCTCCCCTCCTCCCTCCTCCCATTCCATGCCTGCCTCTCCCTCTCTCTTATCTCTGCCTCTGCCTCCTCCCTGCCTCCCATCCCATCCCCCTCATCCCTCCTTTCCCTCCTGCCTCCTCTCCCCCTCCTCCCTCCCCTCCTCCTCCCATCCCTGCCTCTGCCCTCCGCATGTCCTCGTCGTCGACATCATGCACCTCTCCCACCCAGCACAGCGCCCGCTGAACCAGCCCGCTGCGCGAGACACCCGTGCAAGTTTCTGCGGCCGGGAGCCTGGCGGCTCACAGCCGTGAAGGGTGCGCGGCGTCGCAGGGTCAGAGTTGCGGGCGTGCCCTTCGGCTTCTCTCCGGAGTTGCTTCTCCCTGGAGTTTCTCGCGTCGTGAAATAATCACGACGGGCGGTCTTCGGCCGTTCTGGGCCTCCGCAGTTCCTCTGAGAGCTATGTGATCGTCACAAACGATTCGGGGTGAAAAGCCGGTCCTGGGAAACGGTCCAGAGCTCCAGAGGTCGACGTTGTGAATTATCCTGGCGATTGCCCCAACCATCTGCAGATGTGAGTACCGTCGTGGGGGGAATCGCCTTCGGGGGATCCCCACATGAGACCATGAAGCATGCGAAGGGTGTGCCGACCTGGGGCGGGGCCGCCATGTGGGCGCTGCCACTGGGGCTTTAAGTGGAACCCATTATGGGTGAGCTCCCAATGGGGCCACGAAGCGCTGAACTTGGTGTAGGAGACGCATGCGAACCTCGCCACTGGGGCCTTCGGTGGAGCGCCTTATGGGTCCACGAACCTTTGTACTGGGTGGGGAGAACGCATGTGAACACCGGCACTGGGGCCTGAGGTGGAGCTCCCAATGGGGCCACGAGGCGCTGTGCTGGGCGGGGGGACGCGTGCGAACGCCGCCAGTGGGGCCTTCGGTGGAGCTCCCTATGGGGCAACGAAGTGCTGTACTGGGTGCGGGAAAGCCATGCGAACACCGCCACTGGGGCCTTCGGTGGTGCTCCCTACTGGGCCACGAAGCGTTGTGCTGGGTGGGGGAAACGCATGCGAACACCGCCTCTGAGGCCTTCGGTGGAGCTCCCTGTGGGGCAACGAAGCGCTCTACTGGGTGGGGGGAACGCATGCACACTGCCACTAGGGCCTTCGGTGGAGCTCGAAACGTTGTACTGGGTGGGGGAAACGCATGCGGACACCGCCACCGGGACCTTCGGTGGAGCCGCATATGGGCCCGCTAAGCGGTGTACTGCGGGGAGAGACGCTTGCGATTTCCTTCACCGAGGCCTTCGGTGGAGCTCCCTATGGGGCCACGAAGAGCTGTACTGGGTGCGGGAGACGCATGCGAACACCGCCATTGAAGCCTTCGGTGGAGCTCCCCATGGGGCCACGAAACGCTGTATTGGGTGGGGGAAACGCATGCGGACACCGCCGCTGGGGCCTTCGGTGGAGCTCCCTGTGGGGCCACGAAGCGCTGTACTGGGTGGGGAACGCATGCGAACGTCGCCACTAGGACCTTCGGTGGACTCGAAATGTTGTACTGGATGGGGGAAATGCATGCAAACACCGCCACTAGGGCCTTCGGTGCAGCTCCCTATGGGGCCACACGGAGTTGTATTGGGTGGGCGAAACGCATGTGAGCACCGCCACCGGGACCTTCAGAGGAGCTCCCTATGGGGCCACGAAGCGTGTGAAGGGTGTGCCAAAATGAAGGGGGGGCGGCATGCGAATCATGCCACTGGGGCCTTCGGTGGATCTCCATGGGGCCACGAAGTGTGTGAGTGGTGTGCTAGAGTGGAGGGGAGGCGGCATGTGAACCATGCCGATGGTGCCTTCGATGGAGCTCCCTATGGGGCCACGAGGCGTGTGAGGTGTGTGTGTGCAAAAATTGGAAGGGGGGCGGCATGTGAACCATGCCACTGGGGCCTTCGGTGGAGCTCCCTATGGAGCCACGAAGCGTGTGATGAGTGTGCCAAAGTGGAGGGGGAACGGCATGTGAACCATGCCACTGGGGCCTTCGGTGGAGCTCCCTATGGGGCCACGAAGCGTGTCATGGGTGTGCCAAAGTGGAGGGGGGACGGCATGCGACCATGCCACTGGGGCCTTCGGTGACTCCCTACGGGGCCACGAAGCGTGTGAGCGGTGTGCCAAAGTGGAGGAGGGGCGGCATGCGATCATGCCACTGGGGCCCTCGGTGACTCCCGATGGGGCCACGAAGCGTGTGAGGGGTGTGCCAAAGTGAGGGCAGAGGCAAGGGCAAGGGTGGGAGGAGGGCGGAGCGGGAGGAGGAGGAGGAGGAGGAGGAGGAGGAGGAGGAGGAAGGAGGAGGAGGAGGAGGAGGAGGAGGAGGAGGAGGAGGAGAAGGAGGAGGAGGAGACACGGGTATTGTCCCTTCAAAGCGAGGACCCAACACCACAGGATGGTTGGGAACAAGAGCACGTCGCTGGAGGTCGGGGAGCCGGCACCTTGGCTGCTGGCCCGGGGTGTCAGTAAACAGGTGGCCTCCGCGACAACCGGTTTCCGGTTCGGTTCCCGCCTGGGTTCGATCGTTCGATCTGGTTCCAGTTTCTTGCGGCTTTGGTTTCGTTTCGTGCGGTCCCCGATCGCGTGCATTTCTGGCAGGTCACCCTTTCGCACCGGTTCTTGGTCGGTCGGTTCGGTTGCGTGTTTCGTTGTTCGGTTCCGTGGCTTACTGGCTTCCTCTTCTTCATTTTTTAGACGACTATTCTTTCCTTGCTCTATCCCTTTGCACGTCCTCGTTCTCGTTCTTCATTTACTGTCCTCGTCTCCTTCCTCGTCCTTGTTATCGTAGCGTTCGCAGTTCTCTTACTCATATAATTATTCTCATTCTATTTCTCTTCCTCTTCCCATTTACGTTCCTGCTGTTTCGGTGTCTGTTCCTTGCTCTCTGTCTCTATTTTTCCCTGTTCGTTTCCTCTTACTCCTCCCCTTTCCATTTCCCGATGTTGGCAGGTGCAAGCCACCGGCGGCGAAACATGACGCACTGTTTCCAGAACCAGGGTCATCCGCGAGAGTGTTGCCGAGGCGATTGATCTCTGTGTCATTGTCCTGTGCTGCGCTTCGGCTTGTGCTTGCTCGCTATAGTAACTGTAGCGCGGCTTCGATCGACAAGACAACATTTAGTAAACATGACCTTTTGGAGCTGCACGCGGATTTCTTTGGTCGGCGCTTGGAGCGCGCCAGGGGCGGCGCCGGAGGCGCCGCCAAGAGGGGCCAGTTCCGATCCAAGAAATCCGCGCGGAGTTCTGCATCTTCGATCCGAGCTAGTAGCATGCAGTAGTCCAGCATGTGTGAACGAGCCGCGCTTGGGAGGGGTACGACCGGTTGTCGCGGCAAGCCTACGACCCTTACCAGCAGATGATCTTGGACGGCCTGTGGGACGACGAGGCCATCGAGGAAAAGGCGAAGGGCGACGAGTACTTCCGGAACAGCGAATACCGTGCTGCGGTGGCGTGCTATGGGCGAGCGTTGGAGCGCAACCCTGACAGCTACATACTTGCGGCTGTGCCCCTTGCCGCTTCCTGCCACCATCGCCCAGTTTCCCAAGCCGTGCTCGCACTCGAGAGCGCTTACGTCCCTTCTTGCATCACTTTGGGCTTACGGGTTTTCGCCTGGTCGCCGCCCACGGGTGCCTCGTGGGCGCCTCGTGCGCTGGCTTGGCCTCCGTCTATCGCTCACCAGCCACTGGTCTTTCCTGCATCTCAGTGCATAGCTATCTCAAACATCTCCGGCGCCGCTTGCCTTGTATCAATGGGCGCTCATGCTCGCCGAAACCATGAGGAAGCCACCTGCGTTGTGGCAGTTCTTCACCACCCACCAAACCACCCCAACCCAACCCGAAGGTCTCGATTTGCCCTCCATTTCCAGTTGGGGGGGGGTCGGGGAACCTCGAGAAAACACATATGGAACCCGTACCCCCCCCAACCCGAAATTCGGGTCTTCGGGTTGGGTTGGGGTGGTCTGGTAGGTAGGCAGTTCTCCCACACGAGGCGTTCCAGAAAGGGCCTCGCCCTCGATGCTCGAAGGGGTTGTCTTCTCTTCCTCGGCGGAGGGCGGCGGAAGGTCGGCGGAAGTGAATCGGGGGCCCCCAAACGGTGCGGTGACCACACCGTGCGGTGAGTCGGTGGGGATTCGGGGTCACCGCACGGTTTTGGGACTCGGGTCGTTCTCCGAGGACGTCTCGGGCGACGGGGGCCTCCGAGGTCCCAAGACCGTGCGGTGACGGACCGTGCGGTGAGGTCTTGGGGGATTTCGAGGTCACCGCACGGTCCGTCACCGCACCGTTTCGGGACTCCAAAGTGAAGCGAGGCTGCCTCCGCCGGCGGGAGCCGGCGAGAGGGTGGCGGACGGCGGCGAAAGTGAGAGGTGCGCCCCCAGCAGGTGACAACGTTCAGGAGGGGAAAAAACACACAGACACAATTAATCGTCGATCACCAGGAAAATATGGGAAAATATGGGAAGTGGTGGGGAAGACAAAAACCCAGAAAATATAGGAAAATAGGGGGAATCTTTTTATTTGTGTGTATTTATTTGTGTGTCCCAGTTTCCCTTCAAACGTTTTTGGGTTCAGGGCTGCCGGACTCGCCCACGGGAGACCGTGCGGGCCACACATTACCAGCCTCGAGCGTATCCCTATCCCTCAGATTGGCACGCCAAAAGGCGATGACAATCTTAGGGATGCGCCCTGAAAAACTAAGGGAATCCCTAAGACTGGCATCGTGACGAGGAGGTGCCCGGCATAGGGACTGGGATATGCTCCAGGCTGGTAAACACAGGCGCGCTCGTCGAAGACATGCAGCAGCCATGGCGTGCTCGCCAGAGCTCCGTCGAGCAATGCCGTGCGGGCCACGCGCGCGCGTCTCCGCGACCGCGCAGGGTCGAGGCCCTTCGATAGCCATTGGCTCCCTAACCAGGTCAACACAAACGAGGAGCCCAATGGCATTTCAATGCATTGGTTCCCTAAACATTGGTTTCCCACCATTGGTTCCCTAAGCATTTCCAAGGCCATCGGTTCAGAGGTGTTCAAATACGGACGAGAACCCGATGGCTTTTCGACGCAGGTGTCCGCAGAATGCAGAACTTCTGCTTGCTCCACTTTCTCATCATCCTCATCAGCACACTGGGTATCATTACCGTCAGCGTTATAATTGCCATCGTTATCGTCATCATCATTCTCATCATTACCAGTATCATCATTATTTATATCATCAGCATCATCATCACCACCATCGTCGCCATCATCGCTGGAATCATCGTCATCGTCGGTGTCGATGCACTTGTCGCATTTTTGCACGCCTCATTATCCTCACCAGCACCATCGTCATCATCAGCGCCAGCGTCATCGTTGCCGCCGTGGTTATCATTACCATCAGCTTCATCACCATTATCCTGCTAATTACCTGCGGCAAGTCCCGCCACCGTGCCAGCCCAGCATTTTAGCTGGCGGTGATGGTGATGGCTCAAGGCTTAAGGGTCAAGGCTCAAGGGTTGGGTCAAGGAAAGCTTCGAAGTTTTTCTTCTCATCACCAGCAGGGCGCAGTGCCCGACTTAGCCCCGCAGCCACCGCGCAGCCCGCTAGCAGCATGGCGATCAACCAAATCGGCGACCAGGTGAGGGCCCACCTCGCCGGCCTCTTCTCGACGGACGCGAGCTCGCCCGCTGCCAAGCAGGCCAAGAAGGCGGGGGAGTCAGCCGTACCAGAGGCAGGGAAGCGCCACGCCAGCCCGTCGACCATCCACCTTCGAGAAGCCGCAGGCCAAGTGGCTACAGGCTGCGCTGGGTGACACCTTTGCGGTCTTCGGTGGGCACGTCAAGGAGCGCTTCGTGGGCATCGAGCTGGACGTGGCCTCCGTGTCAGAGCAGGTCAATAAGCAAGAGGGGCAGATTAAGGAGGCCCTGAACCTGAAGCAGACGGTGCAGGATCTCCAGGCCGAGCGGCGTGCCCTCAAGGACGCCCGAGACAAGTTGGACACCAAGTTCCACGGCATGGTAGCAGCACCGGTTGCGGAGGGAGCGAACGAGGAGGCACATATAAGGAAGGACATGGAGGAATTGAGAAAGCAGGTGGAGCAGCAGACCGCGAAGACTGCTGAGGTACCCTACGAGATGCGCAAGGTGTGTATCTGCGGGGGCTTGGGTTGGGACACGCCGCCAGAGGCACTACAGGAGAGGTGCTGGCAAGTCCTGGACGAAACCGGCTTGCAGGACCAGGTGGAGACCGTCGCGGCCACCCTGGACACCCCCGGCTGCACCTGCGAGGTCGTCCTCCGCAACGCTGGCACGATGGGTCCAGCTCGACTCCGGGTGAGGCCCCTCGGCAAGAGCTTCGTGGCGAACAAGAAAGTGTGGTTCGACGCGAAGAGGTCGCGAGCCGAGAACGCACTAGCCCGCATGATGCACAAGTCGAAGGAGTACCTCGAGGCAGCTGCTATCCGGGACCGTGCCGTGGTGAACCTCACGACGAGGAGACCAAGTTCAAGCAGGTCAAGGCCAACGGGATCGTCATCGGCTATGCTTCGGTTTCTGCATGGACGTGGACGGCAGCAGCAACCCAATTCTATGCCGATGAGGTTTTGGGGGCTGCCGCAGCCTACGCTGGTCATTCTTGACTGGGGGACTTGGGCTGCGTGTCTTTCAACGCAGCACGGCAACTGAGCGCTGACGTTGTGTTGGAGGCTTTAATTCATTAGCTCGAGGTCGAATGGCCGCGTTGGTCTATTGCATTCTTGGCCGAGAGTGATGCCCACTACGATACAAGTTTCACCCTAGAGCAGGCGACGCGTCACCACTGCATGCGGCGCTGGCCGGGCGCGGGTTCTACCTGTTTTACAATGTTCAGTCGCGATGCGTGGGCGCCGCATTTACAGGCTCTCAAAGCGCGCGGGCGCTGCTGCAGGGCCGATTCCAACATCGGCAAGGGCATTGCCGTTTCGGTCGTCATGATGCAGGCGGGGGGGGGGGGGGGGGGGGCGCGGCGACGAGCTTCTTCCCAGCCTCGCGGACGCAACCGCTCTGGCCAAGGCGCGTCCCAGACGGGGCCGCCCCATCGTCATCGGCGACATGAACGTCGACCTCTTACCAACTCTCCCTGCAGATCCTCTTGCTGGCTCGCCACATCAGGGCCGCAGACATCAGGAGGAGCGGATGCACCTCCACGGCTTTCTTGACTCATCCAAGGTGCGATGTAAGTTGCGCAGGTTTGATTTTTTCTCTGGGGATTTCCCCGCCTCGCCCAGGTACTCCGCTGAAGCATCTATGACGCGAGTGCCCCCGCCAGGGTCTACAGCGCAGCCGCCCTGTATTCGCCGCATCGCTTCGGGCGGATGCGCGCGTGATGTGCGCGGCTATGGGGCATATTTTTATTCGGGCCATGCTCTGGGCGAAGACATGCGCCTCATGCCTTCCAGAACGCCGCTGATCTCGCGGCGGGAGTCGCCCAGCTCCAGCATGAGAGGGCTGACAGCCGTGCGTGTGCAGCCCGCTGGGGCACCAGGGAACCTCTTGCGATAAAAGAGCTATGGCGTCGTGCCCGGGCGGCCGCCGACAGGCGCCAGCAGCGGCGGCTCTGGAGGGAACTGCATGCAGCCTGGGTCACCTGGCTCAGTGCGCTCCGACAGATACGCCAAGCTCAGCGGCTGGAAAGAAAAGGCAAGGTTAGCTGGGGGGCCAAGAAGCTTTCCCCGCTCCGGGCCATGCATGCGCCAGACGGCAGTGAGACCGTCGACAACCAGGAGTGGGCCTCCCTGGTCGAGGCCGAGTTCCGCGGTTTCCGGCGGTTCGGCAATCCGCGCCTCCTGAGCGTGCCGAACGATTTCCCGCGCTAAGAGGGAGCTGTCAGATGCGCTCGCTGGCCTCCGCCATGTGGCGGTCGTGAACAAAAATGGCATCGCGGTCGCGGCCCTCCGGCTCCTCTGCGAGAGCCGGCCGGGCGCCGTGTACATGGCATTCTTCGACCTCGCGAGCAGCCGGGGCGAGATGGGCAGTCTCGTCATTATGGGCAGGGCGAGCGCAACTGGCCCTGGGACAATCCCGCCCACCGCGGTCCGCACCATACCTCCCTTGCCCGTGGTATTGGCTGTCGTCGACAATATCTTGGCAAAGCGGGTGCGCGACGTCGTCGACAGGTGCGCGGCCCGGGTCCTGCCGGCCGCGTCGATGTCGCCATGTCTCGAGTGCGCCGAGAGCAGGCGCCAGACTTTAGATGCCGTTCACCCGCTGGCGCTCGTCATCGAGAGAGGCATGGGCAACGAGTCCCAGGGCTGCGCCTGCCAGCAGGGCGCGCGGGAGTGTTGCGATGCCCCGAGGGCGATGCGCGTTGCCAGGTGGTTCAGGGACGAAACCGGCTCGTGCGACGAGGCCGCCACCTTGGTGAAGCTGCATGCTTGCCCGCTCGTCGTGCTCGAGGTGGGGTCTGCGCTCGCAACGCTGAGCTCCCGCGTCGTCGGCGTGCGCTCTGGCTCCCGGAGCGCCGGCGCAGCCGGGCGCACCCCGCTGTTGGATTTGGCGTCGCAGCGGATGCATTTCTGGCAGACGCTCGGCTTTGAAGGCGCAGGCTTGGCTTATTTCGTGGACAATCTCCTCGCGGCGCCCAAGGATCCAGCAGCTGCCGTTCTCATGCAGGACGATTGCGCGGAGCAGCTCAGCCGGCGATGGGACTTGCAGATCGGGGGGGGGGGCTCCCGGGAATACCTCATTTGCAAGGGCGGGCGCGACGATGTGGTCTCGCATCGCAGCTGGGACAAGAAGGAGAAGACGCTGGGCCACATCATCGACCACAAGGGGGGCATCACCTCGTGCTACGCGGCGGCCACGGCGGCGATGCTCCGAGCGTTTGTCGGGAATCTGGACCAAGTGCTGCGTCGCGCCAGCGAGGGCGCGATCGCCTCGTCCCTGGCCGCCAGGACCGGCTGCTGGAGTCGGGCGTGGGCGAAGCGCAGGTGTCGTGGGAGTCCCACATTCGCCGTGGCCGCGACCCGCAGGCTTGGACGCCGCGCGTGCTTCGCTATCGCGGCGCGGTGTGGCTGAGCTGGCAGCGCCTGATCGCATTGCGCGGGCAAGAGTCGTGGTTGGCGATCCGGCGAGTCCGAGGCAGACCTCGACCCCGATGGGAAGAGACGTTGGCAGAGGCAAGAAAGGCGGCAGTTAGTGCACAGTGAGTGGGCGGCAGCCGAAGTGTAGTCACGCAGCACAGCGTGGGGAGCCGACCAGGGGCTGTGAAATCGACCGAAAGAAAAAAAAAATGGTGATGGTGATGGTGATGGTGGTAGACGTGTTTGCTGACGACGATGATGATGCGGATGATGATGCTGATGCTGCTGCTGATGATGATGCTGCTGTTGATGATAAGGCTGATGCTGCTGATGATGATGGTGGATCTGATGGTGAGGATGATGATGGTGGTGATGATGATGATGAAGCTGCTGATGATTGTGATGCTGCTCCTGATGATGATGATGATGATGATGATGATGATGATGATGATGATGATGATGATGATGATGATGATGGTGACCGTGATTGGTAAGATGGCGATTGTGACAGGGAGGAGGACGAGGAGCAGGAGGAGGAGACAAACAAATGATAATGAGGGGGATAAGGAGTGGAGGAGGAGGTGGAGGAGGAAAATGGGTGGGGGGATCACGCTCTGCTGCGGGCGCTGGCGGGTCGCCCTCACCAACCGCGCCGCCGCCCGGCTCGCGTACGAGACGGAAAAGTTCAAGGTGGAGGAGATCTTAGAGGATCGGCGCTGCTGCAGGGCCAGGGGGGGGGCGAGGGGGAGGGGGCGAGGGGGGAGGGGGGGGGGGGGGGGGAGAAGGTCACGATCGAGGGTCGAGCATCGAAATTTTCTGGAGCTTTGTGAGGATACTGTGGGCTTCAATGGGGGGTTCTCGCCGCCGCGGCTGGGCTCCCCTCCGAAGTGCTGGTCGGAGCGCATCTCTCCAGAGGTGGAGGACCCGATGTGGGGATGGGCGACAAGCGAGGCCCCACGCCGAAGGCGACGGCGTCGCTTGCGGACACACGCTCCGGGGAGCACAAGGTGCCCATGCTGCCACCTCTGCCTTGTTTTCCTTTTTACCTAACAGCTCTTGCTGATAGGTTTCTAGTGGTGTCAAAAGAGAGCATCTGGACTCCACAGGGGGGTCTGGGCGGGTGCCGGGGAGGAGGGCCGGGAACAGAGCCGGGCTCGTTTTAAGCCAACAGTCGCACACTTCGTGCTCTTCGACCTCCCAGAATTCCATTCCCGGGCCACATTTGAATAACCGGAGCCAACTGTAGGCCACTTCGTGCTCTTCGACTTCCCAGAACTCCATTCCCGGGCCACATTTTGGATGCCCGGAGCCAACTGTAGGCCACTTCGTGCTCTTCGAGTTCCCAGAACTCCATTCCCGGGCCACATTTTGGATGCCCGGAGCCAACTGTAGGCCACTTCGTGCTCTTCGAGTTCCCAGAACTCCATTCCCGGGCCACATTTTGAATGCCCGGAGCCAACTGTAGGCCACTTCGTGCTCTTCGAGTTCCCAGAACTCCATTCCTGGGCATGATTTTGAATGCCCGGAGCCAACTGTAGGCCACTTCGTGTTCTTCGAGTTCCCAGAATTCCATTCCCGGGCCACATTTTGAATGCTGAGACAGGCTGAGGCTGAGGCTGAAGCAGGCTGAGGCTGAGGCAGGCTGAGGCTGAGGCCGAGGCTGAGGCCGAGGCAGGCAGACTGAGGCTGAGGCTGAAGCAGGCTGAGGCTGAGGCTGAGGCAGGCTGAGGCTGAGGCTGAGGCAGGCTGATGCTGAGGCAGGCTGAGGCTGAGGCTGAGGCTGATGCAGGCTGAGGCTGAGGCAGGCTGAGGCTGAGGCCGAAGGCTGAAGGCAGACTGAGGCTGAGGCTGAAGCAGGCTGAGGCTGAGGCTGAGGCTGAGGCTGAGGCTGAGGCTGAGGAGGCAGGCTGAGGCTGAGGCTGAGGCTGCAGGCTGAGGCTGAGGCAGGCTGAGGCTGAGGCCGAGGCTGAAGGCAGACTGAGCTGAGGCTGAGGCAGGCTGAGGCTGAGGCTGAGGCAGGCTGATGCTGAGGCAGGCTGAGGCTGAGGCCTGAGGCTGAGGCTGAGGCTGAGGCTGATGCAGGCTGAGGCTGAGGCAGGCTGAGGCTGAGCAAGGCAGACTGAGGCTGAGGCTGAAGCAGGCTGAGGCTGAGGCTGAGGCAGGCTGAGGCTGAGGCAGGCTGAGCTGAGGCAGGCTGAGGCTGAGGCTGAGGCTGATGCAGGCTGAGGCTGAGGCAGGCTGAGGCTGAGGCCGAGGCTGAAGGCAGACTGAGGCTGAGGCTGAAGCAGGCTGAGGCTGAGGCTGAGGCAGGCGGAGGCTGAGGCAGGCTGAGGCTGAGGCTGAGGCAGGCTGAGGCTGAGGCTGTGACTGCGACTGCCGTTGCCACTGCGACTGTCATCGCGAATGCGACTACGACTGCGAGAACAGCAGAATTCTACAACTGGGTTTCTCATCCGAATCTTAAGGGGAATGCTTCCAGATATGCTCCTACACATCGCTGTTAGGTTGCTTTGCCGGGATAATTTTGGGCCTCCTGGGAGGCCCTCGTCGCCACCGCTGGATTCGCTTCGAAATCTTGGTCAAACGCACCCCCGTCGAGGTCCGGGGAGCAGCGGCATCGGGATTTTTACCTAACAGCTTTTGCTGATAGGTTTCTAGTGGTGTCAAAAGAGAGCAGCAGATGACTCCACAGGGGGGTCTGGGCGGGTGCCGGGGAGGAGGCCGGGAACAGAAGTCGTTTTAAGCCAACAGTCACACATTCGTGCTCTTCGACCTCCCAGAACTCCATTCCCGGGCCACATTTTGAATGCCCGGAGCCAACTGTAGGCCACTTCGTGCTCTTCGACTTCCCAGAACTCCATTCCCGGGCCACATTTTGGATGCCCGGAGCCAACTGTAGGCCACTTCGTGGTCTTCGAGTTCCCAGAACTCCATTCCGGGCCACATTTTGAATGCCCGGAGCCAACTGTAGGCCACTTCGTGCTCTTCGAGTTCCCAGAACTCCATTCCCGGGCCACATTTTGAATGCCCGGAGCCAACTGTAGGCCACTTCGTGGTCTTCGAGTTCCCAGAACTCCATTCCTGGGCATGATTTTGAATGCCCGGAGCCAACTGTAGGCCACTTCGTGTTCTTCGAGTTCCCAGAACTCCATTCCCGGGCCACATTTTGAATGCTGAGGCAGGCTGATGCTGAGGCTGAGGCAGGCTGAGGCTGAGGCAGGCTGAGGCTGAGGCCGAGGCTGAAGGCAGACTGAGGCTGAGGCTGAAGCAGGCTGAGGCTGAGGCTGAGGCAGGCTGAGGCTGAGGCTGAGGCAGGCTGATGCTGAGGCAGGCTGAGGCTGAGGCTGAGGCTGATGCAGGCTGAGGCTGAGGCAGGCTGAGGCTGAGGCCAAGGCTGAAGGCAGACTGAGGCTTTGGCTGAAGCAGGCTGAGGCTGAGGCTGAGGCTGAGGCTGAGGCAGGCTGAGGCTGAGGCTGAGGCAGGCTGATGCTGAGGCAGCTGAGGCTGAGGCAGGCTGAGGCTGAGGCTGAGGCTGAGCAGGCTGAGGCTGAGGCAGGCTGAGGCGGAGGCCGAGGTTGAAGGCAGACTGAGGCTGAGGCTGAAGCAGGCTGAGGCTGAGGCTGAGGCAGGCTGAGGCTGAGGCTGAGGCTGAGGCTGGCTGATGCTGAGGCAGGCTGAGGCTGAGGCTGAGGCTGATGCAGGCTGAGGCTGAGGCAGGCTGAGGCTGAGGCCGAGGCTGAAGGCAGACTGAGGCTGAGGCTGAGCAGCTGAGGCTGTGGCTGAGGCAGGCTGAGGCTGAGGCTGAGGCAGGCTGAGGCTGCTGAGGCAGGCTGAGGCTGAGGCTGAGGCTGATGCAGGCTGAGGCTGAGGCAGGCTGAGGCTGAGGAGGCTGAAGGCAGGCTGAGGCTGAGGCTGAGGCAGGCTGAGGCTGAGGCTGTGACTGCGACTGCCGTTGCCACTGCGACTGTCATCGCGAATGCGACTACGACTGCGAGAACAGCAGAATTCTACAACTGGATTCTCATCCGAATCTTAAGGGGAATGCTTCCAGATATGCTCCTACACATCGCTGTTAGGTTGCTTTGCCAGGATCATTTTTGGTTTCCCCAACGGCGTCGCTTGCGGACACACGCTGTCTGGCTGTCCCTGAGGTCCCCTGGGAGGGGTGCCTGTCCCCTCTGCTGCTGCCCCTCCTTCTCATATCCTCCTCGCCCTTCTACGCATCCTTTCCTCAGCATGTTGCAGATGCTTGTCCTCGTTTGGAGGTGCAGAGAGCAGGGGAGGGGGCGGCATGGGGAGGGGGCCACCACCACATGGCGTCGATCACAGGGCAGCAAGCACAGCGCAGCAGCCAGAGGGCAGCAGCCAGAGGGCAGCAGCCAGAGGGCATCTGCCATCCTTAGGGCATCATGGGGCACCGCAGGACACCTGCCACAGGTGACCCACCCTGGGATGCTATGGGGTGCCGGCCATATGACACCAGCCATCGGGCGCCAGCGCGCCATCGGCCGACAGTGACTTGTAGAACCAGTTCCATACACAGTTGCTGCAACTGTTGTGAGTGTTGTGCGCAGAATGGAACCCACAGGACACTATAGGGCGCCAGAGGACACCTACCGAATGTGATCCACACCAGGATGCTATGGGGCGCCAACCGTGTGACGACAGCCATCGGGCGCCAGCGCGCCATCGGGCGACAGTGACCGGCATAGCCTGTTCCGTGCACAGTTGCTGCAGCTGTCGTGACCGTTGTGCGCAGAATGGAGCCCACCGGTTTTCGGACTTTGCCGTCGTGGGGTGATGCTGGAGACCAGTGGATGAGCACATGTGAGTGCCAATGGCTTTTGGATGTGACGCCTCGTCCTCCTACTCCTCCTTGACTTCCTCCGCCGACTCATCTGGAGCGCTGGTCTCCAGCGCGTGCTCACGGCTGCGCGTTCATTGCCCTGGCGCTAGGCGGCCCTCGTGGTGCCCCTGGCGCGCAGGAGTGCATAGTCGGATCCGGTGCCTTGGATCCCCCGCAGGGGTGCGAAGGCGACAGCGCTCCGCGTCTCGCGGCGGCGGCGAACGGGCGAAGGAGGGGGCGAAGACTGCCGTGCCTCGCGCTGCGCGCGGCGCGAACGCGCGAAGAGGGGTGACCCAGGGGCCCGCCCCCCCGACGACGACGAGCCCAATGTGATGTCGTCGCGATGACCGCCCGCCGCCTCGCGCTTTAGCTCGGCGAGCGCGAGACCCCGCGCCGCCCGCTCTCGCTGCTTCTTTTTTCCCGCCGCGCATCGCCTGCCTTTCGCCTGGCCCGGGAGGAGCTCGCAGTGACCTCGGAGGGCCCTCGGGGAGGCGCTCGCAGGGCTTCGGAGGCCCCTCCGACGGCCTTCCGAGGACTCTCCGAGCTGCCCTAGAACGCACTCTGCCCAGCATGTCGCTGCGAATGCGGCCGTGGCGACGAGGCCATCGTGGGGGGCCGGGGGCCACGAGGCTCCCAAGATGCAGCGGACATCAAACTGCCCCCTTCCGCGCCCGATGCCCTTCTTGGAGCTGGCCGCAGGGACTAGAATGGCTGCGCAGTGGCCAGCCCACGTGCGGGCCGTGGCTCCTGTGGTGGCGCTGGCCCTGGCTCCCCCCCCAGAGTCGCCTTCGGGCTGGGAGAGGAGGGAAGACGAGAGGGGGCCGGGGTGCGAGGCGGGGACTTCTGCACAGCCGCTGCCTGGGGAAACTAATGTTATGTAGATTCTCGGGCCCGCTGGGACCAGCATGCATCCACATCCACCGCCCGCTGGGGTCCTGGGACGTCGGTTCCTCAGGCGCTGGATATGGCTAAATCCCCGCCTCGCAGAGTGCAGCGGGGGAGGCAGTCTGCTGCTGATGACCAGGCCTCTCGGCCCCACCGCGCACCGCCCGCCCGCAGCGAGCGGGCGCTGCGGCAGCCCGCTCCAGCGGGCCCATGCTGCGCGGCGCGCGCCCGACGTGCCAGCGCGGCGGACACGCCGCAGCCACCCTCGGCCTGGCCTCGCACACCGCGGGCGGCGGCGCGGCCGCGGCGTGCGCGGCCGGCGCGGGCGGAGCGCGCCCGCGGTGCCCCGAGCCGGGCGCGCGGGCGCGGGCCGCGTCGGCGCTGCCGGCGGCTGCGGCGGCCGCCACCTGCGCCCAGAGCGGGGCGCGGCTCGGGCGGTTGCTGCGCGGCGCCGGGCGCGTGCGCGGCGCGCGGCGGGGTACCAGGGCGCGGCGGTTGGCGTCGGCGGGGGGGGCGAGCGGCGAGGGGCAGCGCCGAGAGGGGGGCTGGCCCAGGAGGGGAGCGCTTGGGGGTCGGCGGCGCGCCCAGGGGGCAAGGCAGAGGGGTCGGGGGTGCTTTCTTCTGGAGGCTCTCAGAAGGCCTCGTGGCCTGCTGAGGAGCTTCGTGTGGGCCTGCCCCGAAGCCGCAGAGGGGGCTGCTCGGCAGGCTGGAGGCCCTCCGAGAAGTCCAGCCGCCCTCTCAGCAGCCCCACCCTCTCTCTCACTTCCCCCCCCTCGGCGCGCCGCTGAGGGACGCATCGACCCCCCCAATCGCCCATGGGTCGCCGATAGGTGCCCGATAGCCCGCCCTGCCCAGGACCTCTGGGAATGTGCTGTCGGGGGCCTATCGCCGATCTATCGGGGGATGTATCGCCGATTGCAGGTCGATGTTCCCCCCCCAAGCCAGTCAGTCCACCCTCATCGTTGCCCCTCAGAGCGGGGCGAAGCAGCGCATCGAGGGCCTCCTCAAGGGGGGCGGCATCGTGGTCTTCTCGAAGACGTGGTGCCCTTTCTGCACCAGGGCCAAGGCGCTTCTGCAGGCGGAGGGCGCGAGCTTCGTGTCTGTGGAGTTGGACGAGATGCCGCAGGATGAGGCCGGCGAGGTGCAGATGATGCTCGCAGAGATGACGGGCGCCCGCACCGTGCCGCGCATCTTTGCTAGCGGCCAGTGCATAGGTGGCTGCGACGACCTCGTCGCCCTGCAGCAGAGCGGGCAGCTGGCGGACAAGCTTCCCAGCGGCAGTACGGTGGCCCCTGCCGCTGAGTTCAAGCTCGAGCTGGACGACAACGAGATGCGCAGAAAGCTGTCCCCCCAGGAGTTTTACGTGCTGCGCCAGAAGGGTACCGAGGGTCCGGGCACGCACGACTTTAATTGGTTCTTCCCCGCTGGGGGGCACTTCGCGTGCGCTGCGTGCGGCTTGCCCCTCTACTCGGCGGGCTCCAAGTTCAAGTATTCAGGGGACACCACGTTCCCTCTGCTTAGCAATTGCGGCTGGCCCTCATTCAGGCAGTGCTATTTCTCGGAGGAGGCGGGTGGCTGCCACATCGCGACCAAGGACGAGTGTGGCAGCGTTGAGATTATCTGCAAGCGTTGCGACTCGCACATAGGGCACGTGTTCTTCGACGCGCTCGGCCCAGAGAACCCAAACGGCGAGCGCCACTGAGCCAACGGGTTGAGCCTGAAGTACGTCGAAGGGCCGCCCGAAGGCTTCACTTCGCTGAGAGAGGACAAGGTGGACCTGGATCTGAAGTAGGCTGGCGGCGGCGGCGGCTAGAAACGCTGTTATCAGCAGGCAGTTTACGGGGTTCAGCGCAAACGGAGCTCAGCCAAGGCGGTGGATCCCGCAGGGTTCTTCAACGCCCGATTTTGTCTGAGCTGGGTTTGGGCGCAGGGCGCGAACTTGGAGGTGGTCTTACATGTTGGCTGAGCAGGGTTTGGGAAGCCCCCCCGAAAGGCTGCAGCGCAGCTTTTTCTGACTTGACTGAGCTGTGTCTGCGCTGAGCTGGGTCGGTCCACGCCCGACGCTGCCCGTTGATGAGGGCTTCTTCGACGTCGGATGCGCGCTACTGCTCGGGCCCAGCTCGCGTCGAGTGCAGGATGTCTGCCAGGGCCGCAAGTCAGCTTGCACGGGGCCTGAAGGTATACACCACCACCACCACCACCTCCCTCATCCCCTCCCTCTTCCAGGAAAGAAGAGAGGAAGATGGTGGTGGAGGAGGGAGGAGGAATCGACGTGGTGGTGGTGGTGGTGGTGGTGGTGCTGGTGGTGGTGATGGTGGTGTATATTCTTGGGGCCCGCAGCTTGCCCCTCGCACTTGCCCCACTCGCAGGCCGCGCGCGTGGTGAGCCTCTGCCAGACTTGCGCGCGGCGATGTTTTGCCCGTGGGAGCTCGCGGCGGGGCGAGGGCTGCGCGGCCCTCGGCGGAGCAGAGGCCAGCAGTTCGTCGTCGTTCTCTTGTCCACTGTCTTGCCGATCGGCGCGGGCCCTCGCGCCCCCCCCACCCCCATGGAGTGGATCTTGGCTGTTTTTGGCGCCCCGTTCCAGCAGGTGGAGCCTCCCCCACAGGACGCACTGCTGTAAGCAGTCGCATGAAGCAGAGGTCTGGAGCCAGACCCCCCCTCCCCCCCACCCTTGAACCCAACGTCGATACGCCGAATGAGAAAACGCTCACCAGGGAGTCCGCCCCTTGGGTGGCGACACGGGCTCGGGTGCAGCCGCGCACGGGGTGGCGTTTGGGGATCGGTCGCGATGCTCGCCCGAACCTCCTTGTCGGCCGGCCGAACCTCCTTGTCGGCGCGCATAGGGTGGTCGGGAGAGGGGGGGAGCGTCTTAGAAGCACCCCTGCTTCTTCGAAGGCGCGGGCCTTCTCTAAAGATGTAAGGCCGGTGCCTTCTAAGAAGCAGCCTCCTTCTCAGAAGCCTCCCCCCTACCCCCTACCACTCTTGTGCGCGCCGCCAAGACACGGGCTTCGGTGCAGCCGTGCACAGCAGGGTGGCGTTTGGGGATCGGTCGCGATGCTCGCCCGGACCTCCCAGGGCTCGTTTCGATTCCTCGGATTCGATTCGATTCGACTTCGATGGTTTCCGATTTGGATTCGATGCGATTTCGGATTCCGATTTGGACTCCGATTACGTACTGGAGGCGTATGAGCCTGCGGATTTCCGCTGATTCTGCCGGTTTCCGCCGATTCGTCGTCTCCCGACTCGGCTGCCGATCTCCGCCGATCCGATTCATTTCGATCGCCGATCCAACTTATCGATTCGATTCTGGGCTCTCCTGCCTCCAGCGTCAGCCCGGTTCGGCCCAGGAGCCCCGCGGGAGGGCCCGGCGCGCCATGGGCCGGTGCGTCCGCCTCGGCCTCGGGAACCCCGTCGGGCAGGCCCTGGCCCAGAGTGGGCCGTGCCTCTCCTCGCTCGCCCTCGCGGCTCGAATCCCCCCCCCCCCCCGTCTTCCCTCCCCCCCCTATCCCTCCTCCCTTCGACCACACACACACACGACACTAACCCCCCCACCTACGGCACGCTGTGCTGGATGTCTGCGACCTTGCCTCGCTGTCCCGCGTGGTGCTCCTTGGCCGACGACGGCATGATGGCCACGTGCTGGGCAGTCGTCGTTCGTCATGACTTCGACGTGCTGGTCCATCCCTCTCCCGCCCCCTGCCTAGTCCGTAGCCGTGTTGGCTGAAGCTTTCAGGAGTGCTTGCTGGCCCCTCGTGTCGTCCATATGTTCGCCGTGCAGCGTCGTTCCGCACTTGCTGTGGCGTGTTGGTGTGTCTGGCGGTCCTCGCTGCACTCCGGCTTCGTGCTCCGTCCCAGGCTTGGGTGTGGGAGGCGGCGCGCAGGCCCAGAGCCAACCAGTCTCGCATCCCTTCATTCCTGGGCGTATTTCAAGGCAGGGGATGCGCAGCCGTGCATACAGGCCAGTTCAAGGCAGGGGATGCGCAGCCGTGCATACAGGTCAGCTGTGTCATCGGTGTGTTCGCAAGTACTTTCGCAACAGTCGTGGCATATCGGTGCTATGGTGGTCCTTGCTACATTCCGGTTTCATGCTCCGTCCCAGGCTGCGGGTTGGGAGGCGGCGCGCAGGCCTAAAGCCAACCATGCCCGCAGCCCCGCTATTTGGGCGCATCTCAGCTTGCTGCAGGTTTTGTTGAACGTATGTCGCCTGCTTTTATCACTGTCTTGGGGCCCACCGTAATGCCAACGCACTAGCTTCGGTGATTGCGAAGTAGTGCGGCTCGGTTGGATCATGTCGCTAGTTGCGCACGACGGGCGAATGGCATGTCCGCTGGGCTGGTACTTGCGGGGCGCGGTGGGCGTGCAGTGCTGGGTTGTTTGGCTTAATATAACCGCGCCCTGTTAGGGTACATGCGGCGGTCGGCGCTACAGGCGGCGCCAATCTCGTTCCTTCGGGTGTCACTTCGGCGGGCGAGCTCGCGGGCTTCGAGGTCTTCGCGTGAGGCGGACAGAGACTATTCTTTATTGCATGAAGGCAATGTCTGCTGACCCCACTCCATTCCATTCCCGCCCCCCCGCCCCCTGCTCCCCCGTCCTTGTCTTGCTCCCCGTCCCCCCCCGCCCCTCTGCTCCCGCCCCCTCTCCTCGCCCTCCCCTCTCCCGCCCTTCCTCTGCGACTGCCTCGGCTTCCCCTTGCGGCTCCTGCCCTTCCCCTCCCCCTCCCTCTTTCGCTCCCCCCCCCCGCCCGCCCCTCTGCTCCCGCTCCCTCTCCTCGTCCTTCCCTCTTCCCCCCCTCCCTCCTCGGCTGCCTCGGCTTCCCCGCGGCCCTCCCCCCGCCACCGCCAGGCCTTCCCCGGCCACCATCAGGCGAGGCTTCGCCGGATCGCCACTCGGCGATTGTGCCCCTCGGGCGCTCCCGTGGCGGATCCCTCTTCCCCGCCTGTCGTGATGGGCCTGCTTTCCACCACCACCACCGTAAGTTGAAGGGGGGAGGGGGTCCTCCTCCCTCTCTTCTTCTTCCTCCTCCTCATCCTCCACCTCCTTCCCCCCTCCGACTTATGGTGCTGGTGGAAAACAGGCCCATCATGTCGGAGGGCGCGGCGGTGGATGGCTGTCCTGCGGTGCGCTCGGGGCCTCGGGGGCCGCTCCGCCGAGGCGACGGGCTGCCTCTCGCGGCGGCCCCTGGGGGGAGGGGGGGGACCCCCGGGCGTTGGAGAGCCGCTCCGCCTCCCACGCCCGTGGCGCGCGTCTCGGGCCCGACGAACGGGGGGATAGGGAAGGGGGGGTTACGAAACCTGCTGCGTGCAGCTGGTTTCGGCCCCGCCGCCGGGCCCATTCCTCGATACATGGGCGCCTCCCGGCGCCAGGAGACGCCGGGAAAATCAGCTTTCGCCTGGTCCGAGCGTCAGGCTGAGCGGGCTCCGCGATGGCAGGTTCGTTTTGCCGGAGCCGCCGCCTGTTCCTCTTGCCGGTGTCTTCCCTGCTCTGGTTGTCGCTTCCGTGTGGGTGGGGGGGCTCTTTTTCCTCCGCCTCCGCCTGCTCCTCCCGTTCTTCTGTGGCCTTCCCCCGTTTGCCCAGCCGCCCTCCACACTGTCGGTTGGCGATGCCCCCCGCCCCCCAGCCGCCAGTCGGCGCGGGCGCCTCAAGCGCGGCCAGCTGGCGGGGCCCATCTGCCAGTTGGCGAGGAGCGGTGCCGGGCAGTCCGCAGGGCTGAGGTCTGCCTTGTCGCGCAGAGCGCGGCCCGCGCAGGTGCCAGGGGCGCCCGCAGGAGGTCTCCCCGATTGGGAGGCCTGCCCCCCCCCTGGGGGCAGGGCGGCTGCCCGCGGCCAGACCTGGAATACCTTGGCTCGTTTCCAATGCAATGCCCGTTCCTTGCTTAGATCGGCGGCACCAGTGTCACATCTGGACTGCCAGGACAGAACAGTAACGCCATAATAGGGAAGGGGGCCCTACTTTTCCATGCGGCACGGCTCGCTGAACGGCGTTCTGGCGCAGGCTGGCCGCGACGCAGGCTACTCGGCGCTGCCGGAGCAAACGATCCCCGAGCTCGGCCTCAAGAAGCGGCGCCGGGACGGCAGGGAGGTCCTGGAAGAGGCCATCCTGGATGTAGAACTGTTCGGGCATCCGACGGCCCCAGAGCGCCTCCTCGACGGCACGGTGCGCCACCCCGCGGCCGCGCACATCCTGCGGGCTGCTGCCGTGACGCCGGGCGCTGCCGCTGCGGAGGGCGTCCGGTGCAAGGAGGACCGCTACCCGGACACAGGGGGCAAGTCCGTGATCCCTTGCGCCGTGGAGACCTGGGGCCGCATAGACGGCAGACTCTTTAACCTGTTGGACGAGCTTGCTGTCCTGGCGGCGCAGCGCCAGCGGGACCGTGGCGTCCTGCCCACGCGCTGGGGCGCTCGCTGGCGGACGTTGATCAGCGTCCGGCTGGCATTGGGCGTTGCCCGAGACCTGCTGGACGCGGCGCCCGCGCAGTGCTGGCCCTGCGGCGCCGTGCGGAGCAGGGCGGCGGGCCGCGGGCCAGGCGGCGGCGGCGCCGGCGGGTAGCCCGCTCCCCCGTCCTCCCCTTCCTCCTCCTTTGTGCATGTGCTTTGAGGGATTCATGCTGGAAATGCAAGAGAGAGAGAGAGAGAGAGAGAGAGAGAGAGAGAGAGGGAGAGAGAGAGAGAGAGAGAGAGATAGAGAGATAGAGAGGGGATGGAACTTGGGAGGTGGGAGCAGAGATGGCGAAAGAGGGAGCAGGGAGGAAGCAGCATGGAGGACGAAGAGTAATAGGGGGGAGGAGGAAGAGGAGGAGGATGATGATGATGATGAGGAGGAGGAGTAGCAGGATCAGGAGAAGTGCAGTGACTGTGCGGTGATCATCATGGTGGTGATGATGATCTTGAGGATGTTGAAGGAGAGGAGGCTGAGGAGAAGGGTCGGGATAAGGAGGACGGGGAGGGGGAGGGGGACGGGGATGGGGAGGGAGGGGAAGGTGGGAGAGTGTGAGGAGGCAAGAGGGAGCGGGAAAATGGGGGGAGGAGGAGGAGGAGGAGGAGGAGGAGGAGGAGGAGGATGGAGGAGGAGGAGGAGGAGGAGGAGGAGGAGGAGGAGGAGGAGGAGGAGGAGGGAGAGGAGGAGGAGGAGGAGGAGGAGGAGGAGGAGGAGAGGAGGAGGAGAGGAGGAGGAGGAGGAGGCAGGAGGAGGAGGAGGAGGAGGAGGAGAGAGAGGAGGAGGAGGAGGAGGAGAGGAGCAGGAGGAGCAGGGAGGAGCAGGAGGAGCAGGAGGAGCAGGCGGAGGCAGGGGAGGAGGAGGAGGAAGGAGGAGAGGAGGAGGAGGAGGAGGAGGAGGAGGAGGAGGATGGAGGAGGAGGAGGAGGAGGAGGAGGAGGAGGAGGAGGAGGAGGAGGAGGAGGACGGAGGAGGAGGAGGAGGAGGAGGAGGAGGAGGTAGGAGGAGGAGGAGGAGGAGGAGGAGGAGGAGGATGGAGGCGGAGGAGGAGAGGAGGAGGAGGAGGAGGAGGAAGGAAAATAAGAAGAAGAAGAAGAAGAAGAAGAAGAATAATAATAAGAAGAAGAATAATAAGATGCAGAAGAAGAATACGAATAATAATAATAATAA